CCACCCTTGATGACGGGGGCCTCAGAGGGTGGGGAGGGGCTGGAAGGGTTGGAGAAGCCGGAACAGTAATCCAGGTGCGGGGACTAGAGTGTCCAGGGTGCTCGGCAGGACCGGTGCGGAGGCAGGACCTGCGGGAGACAGGAGCGTGGGGGACCCGGGCCGGGCGGGGCGGGGGGTCCCTGCAGCAAGTGGGCTGGAGGCGGGGTCAGGAGGGGCTCTGCAGGTGGGTTTGGGGTGCAGGAGGCTGCCGGGCGGGGCGGGCCCTGAGCGACCCTGTTCTTCGCAGACGGAGGCCCTCCTGCTGCAGGCCGAGCGCCGTGCCCTGTGTGCCTGCTGGCCCGCCGGCCGCTGAGGACCCCGCCCGCCGGCGCTGTCCCGGCGCTGTCCCTGTCAATAAAGACCCGGCTCCGCACGACTGTGTCCTCTCCCTCCTCTGGCCACCAGGCCCGCCTGCGGCGTCCCCAGGGTCCCCCGCGGGGCCCCTCCCCAGGCCTTGATGTCCCCAGCTGTTCATGAGGGCGAGGCCCCCTGGGCGCCTGTGCGGCTCCCCACCCCCCGCCGCGCCGGTTCCAAGTGCGGACTCGGGCCCCACTCGAGGGCCGGGGCCTGGCCCCGTGGGCGCTGCCCTGCGGCCGGTATGCCTCCGGGGTCCCTGCTCTCCTGCCCACCTGCCTGCCTTGTCTCCAGGGCGGGGAGCACAGCAGGTGACCTGGTCCCCGCAGCAGCTGCCCAGCCCTTCTGCACTGCGGTGGGGTCAGCTGTCCTCGGGGGCCCAGCCGGTGGCCCCCCCCCCCGGTGGAGCCGGCTGTGGCCGGGGGGCCCCAGTTGCCAGGGGAGGGAGGGCTCCTCCCCAGAGGAGGGCTGGGACCTTCCCCACAGCCTGCACCCGCCTGCTGGGTCCCTTCTGCGGCCGCGGCATGCTCCGTGTCTACTCAGGTGCCCTCCAGGCCCCTCGGGACTTGCCTGCCGCGCCCACCTCCACTGGCCGCCCAGCCCCTTGGCTGCTCTGTCCCCAGTGCTTTTGTGGCTGGACGCGCCAGCTGCCAGGAGTCGGCACCTGTGTGCAGGAAGCAGGGTTCTACCACATGCAGTGCAGGCGGCGGTCTAGCCAGGTGGCCATGACCTGTGGAGGCCGCAGCAGGCCAGGCACTGAGGCCAGGGCAGGCCTAGTGTGGTGGCCCTGAGGGAGCTCGCACACTGTGGCGGCCGGGCCCGGACACTCCTTTCCTGGGGCCCCGGAGAGGGGCCAAGGGGCAGCTGAGGCAGGTGCTGGGGCGGGGCGCTCACACCTGACCCTCGGTCCCAGCCATTCCTAGTGGGAGGGACGCCCACCCCGCAGCTGTGCGGTGGGCCGGGCCGTGGGGCTCAGCAAACACTGACACAGGCCCGGGAGCACTCGCTAGGTGAGACCGCAGAGCTTTCAGGGTGAGCGCTGTGAGCCCTGGCTTGGGGGGGGCGGTAGGGTGGGGGGTTCTGCCGACAGAGGAGGTGGGGACAGTGGAGGGTGCCCGTCCCGGAGAGCCTGTCCGGAGCTGCCCGTTGGGAAGAAGTGGGGCCAGGAGGCGGCCGTGCGGGGTCTGTGCAGCGCTTGGCCCCACGGCTGCGGGCACGGTGGGGGGGGAGTCGTGGCGCCCTGACGGAGGGCCCCTCGGCCATCTCGGGGAGCTGAGCGAGCAAGGACGCTGGTACAGGATGGACCCCGGGGTGGCAGGGACAGAATGGGCCCTGAGGGAGACGCAGTGGGGGTCAGGGTCAGGCTGGGAGGGGCAGCAGCCGGAGAAGCCGCGGCGTTTGAAAGGAGGGCCAGCGGGGCTGGCCGGTTGGTGGGGATGGACTCGGGAGAAGGGGGCACGGAGGGGTCCGAGCTGCGTGTGTCGGGGGGAGGGCTGGAGAGAGAAGGGGGGGCTGGTGCTGGCCGGGATCCCTGCGGCCTGAGGGGACAGGGGAGGTGGGTGCGCAGGGGGTGAGGGAGCCCGGCGGGGGTGGGGCGGCCGGGAGGCGGGCGAGGGGGGGGGCGAGGGCTGGGCTCGACCCCTGCTGTGTGACCCCTGCTGCCGAGGTGGAGCAAGGCCCCACCAGACCCCTGCCTGTGGTCGTCGCCAAACAGGGCTGGGGTGGGTGGGGCCCGCATGGGGGGCGGCTCCGCTGGGGGGCAGATGCGGACGGTCCGCCCTGGCGCCTTGCGAGGCCTCGGGCCTGGCAGGTGGCCCAGGCCGAGGGCACCCGGGCTCTGTCCTGTGCGTGGACACAGGTGCGGGCTGCAGCCGCACCCTGTGGGGAGCCTTTCCCGTGTCCCGCACCCCGCCTTGCTCTCGTCCTTCCCCTCTCCAGACGCCACGTCGTCCCCCCCCCCGTGTCCCCTGCCCCCAGCCAGCTGGGCCTCCCCCGCCCACTGCCCACCCTCCACTCCTCTGCTCCGGGGCCGCGCTGTCCTGCGTCCCAGGTCCTCTCCCTGTCACATGCGTTCAGCCAGGGGGCTTCCCGGAAACCAGAGTGGCGGGTCACCCTTCGGAGCCGGAGCCGGGGGGTTCTGTCAGCGGCCACACCCCTCGAGGACCTGCCTCCCCTTCATCCCTCGCCCGCCCTGCACCGCCGCGGCGCTCCCCTCTCTCACGGGGGCACCCGCACGTTGGTGCTCCGGCCTCCAGCTGCCCACGGCCGGCAGCTGTCCAGGCTCCCTTCCCGGGGAGCCCTCCAGGCTGGCCAGCCCGTGCCCAGGAGTCCGGCCCGCAGCTGGGGGACCCAGTCCTCCCTGTCCCCTTCCTCTGCCCACCCTGGGACCCCCCCCACCCCCCGTCCAGTGCACCCTGGGCCTGCTGCCCACCTCCTGGTTCCTCCTGCTCCACCGAGGCCTTGGGGTTCACCTCCTCCCACGCTGCCAGCACCCACCTCCGCCGTCCTGCCCCGTCCCACTCCCCAGGCCCCACCTGTCCCTCTGGCTTCCAGCTGGAGGCGCCGTCCCTCTGCCCAGGCGGGGGTCTGCCTGTGGGTCTGCCTGGGAACCTGGTGGGGGCTGGCTGCTGCTGTCACAGCCCCTCGGGCGGGAGCCCACGGAGCTCTGACGAAGGTGCTGGGTGCGGGGAGGGGGCACCAGGTGCAGTCCTGGGGTGGGTCGGGTTTCGTGGACAGGTGGGCCCTGGGAGAGCCCGCCAGCCCTGACCTGCCTGGCCTTGCTTTTTTGTCTGCAAAACAGACTCCCGGTGTGGGCTGAGCACACAGCCTCCCTGGGGTGGGTGGGGGGTGCCCCCGTGTCTCTGAGGTGCAGAGGAGCGGCCTGGGGCCGCCCTGCTGCCCCCGCACAGGTTCCAAGCACCCATTTCAAGCACCTTGAAGTCTCTGAGACCTTCCAGGCATCTGACCCTTCTGAGCCGAGTCTGGCTGCCTCCCCAGTCTCATCCCGACTTTCTCTGCCCCGCCCCCCCCGCCCCCGCACCAGGAGCTGGGGCACTGGGCGTTCTGGCCCCCAGGGGCCGCCAGGGACATGGTGTGGGGCTGACGGGGAGGTCCAGCCCCCTGGAGGTGGGGGCTGTGCAGCTGCAGAACCGAGGTCCCCGAGTGGAAGCCCAGGCCCCCTCACCAGTCACCAAGCGTGAGGGCGTGCTCCCCGAGTTCCAGACCTGGCGCTCGGAGCCAGCCGGAGCAGCCCCGCCTCCCCGCCTCCCTTCCCTCTGGAGCCCCTGGCCTGCCCCGCCCAGCAGCGCCCCTCCCCAGTGCTGCTTCTTCCTGCCTGGGCGCCTTGCTGCTGTTGGCTGGGCTGGGACGTGTCCTGCCGTCCACCAGGCCAAGCTCGGGCTGCTGTAGGGCGAACCCCACCCCAGCCGGTGCCCCCGCGTTGGTCCCGGCACCGGTGCTCAGGCAGCACGTGGATGGGTCCAGAGCGGATCCCCCAGTTGCCGGGATTCCGCTCCTAACCTCCTGCAAGGTCACGGCCGGGGCCTGGACAAGTCTGGCATCTCAAAAACACAGTGTGGGAGTGACTTCCCGGCCCGGCCGCGTCCTCCCGCCCGCGACAGCCCTGGCCACGGACAAGTTCAGCTCCTCGGTCTGGGTCCCTTAGGGCCACGTCAAAGGGTAGTCAGTCCCTTGAAGGACCCCGGGCGACTGCGGCCGCCTCACTGGGCCCCCGCGCGGGCCGAGGGTCCTCAGGCCCCGACCCCTGGGCGTCGTCCCCATCCGCAGCGCAGGCACGGGGACCTCGCTCCGGGCTGCCCTGGGAGGTCACCTCCGGGGAAGTGCGCGGCAAGGAGAGGGGGTGCAGAGCTGCGGGGGGCCGGGTGCGTCAAGTGGTGGGGGGTTCTGGGGATACCCGTTCCCCCACTTCCACCCTCGCCCGTGGCCCGCGGCGTCAGCCGGCCCGGCGCGCAGGGGCCGGAGGACTCCGTCAGCGCACTCCCTGCACCTGCACCGAGATCGTAGGGCGCATGCGCGGGCCGCGGAAGGCGGGGGCCGGTCCGGGAGGGGTCCTGCGGGCCCTCGCACCTCCCTCCCCGCTGCCCGCAACGGGTGTCTCTTGTTCGAGCGAGGGGCGCAGCGCTGGGCGACGCGGACACCGACCACGCTCCGGTCGCATCCCCGCGCCCCCAGCCCGCGCGGCCCCGGGCGCACGTTCCCAGGGGCGCCGGGCGGGGGAAGCCGGGGTGCCCCCTCCTAGGACCCCGCGGGGCGCCGCGTTCAGACAATGGGGAGGGAGGTGGAGGTGCTTTCGTGACTGCGCCCGGCGGCTGAAGAGGAAGAGGAGGACGCGGTGCTGAGAGATCCGGAGGCCGGGTCCCAAGTCCCGGCGCTCCCAGGACCGCGCGGAGCGGCGGCGGCGCGGGGACGCAGGGCCCCGGCGGGAGGCGTCCGGCCCGGAGCCACACGCAGCGACCCCTCCGAGCCCGGAACCCCGGCCGCGCGCTCACTCGTCGCCCGCCTCCCCCGGCCGCCCGCGCCGCCCCCGCCCGGGCACATCCCCGCTGACTGCCCGCGCCCGGCCGCGCCGCAGCGCCCAAGTGTGCCATCGGGCGGGCGCGGAGGCGGCGTCTGCTCCCACCCCCAGATCACATGGTGACCCTCGGCAGCCAATGCAGTGGACGCTAGGACCCTGCGGGACCCCGGGCGCCGCGACTGCACCGGCGCCGCTGCATTATAAATACTTCTCCAAAATGCGGCGCAGCTCCCAGCGCGCGCCCCGGCCGCCCGCCGCCTCCGCCCCGCGCTCCTGAGCCGCCACCGCTGCCGTCGCCGCGGGTCCGAGGGCGCCGCGCCCTTGCCCTGGGCCGGGGCTGTGCCGGCCCGCAGCCCGGCCCGCCTCCCCGCGCTGCGCCTCCCGGCCGGGTGCATGCATTGTGAGCCTCCCGACATGGTCTGCGAGACGAAGATCGTGGCCGCCGAGGACCATGAGGCGCTACCGGGGGCCAAGAAGGACGCGCTGCTCGCCGCCGCCGGCGCCATGTGGCCCCCGCTGCCCGCCGCGCCCCCACCCGAGCCCCAGCCCCTGGGCGGTGCGGAGGACGCGGGTCCGCCGGAGGGGCGCGGCGTGTACATCCGCGAGTTCCGCGCGGCCGAGCAGGAGGCGGCGCGCCGCATCTTCTACGACGGCATCATGGAGCGCATCCCCAACACGGCCTTCCGCGGCCTGCGGCAGCACCCGCGCACGCAGCTGCTCTACGCCCTGCTGGCCGGTCAGTGCGCTGGGACCTGCCGCAGTCCGTGCCCGCCGGGCCCCTCCGGGACACAGGCACAGGGCCCCACTCGCCCACCTCCGGCCCAGGACGCAGCCCGGGAGGGGAGCGGACAGGCACCCGCGTACTCCGCGCTCTGCGGCGGCCCGGCGCGGTGGCCTCCCGCGGCGGGGCGGGCTGGGCTCTAGGCCAGGGCGCGCCGGGCGGGGGCGTGGGAACGAAAGCGGGGCGGGGGCGGCGCGCGGGGGTCTCCACCATCGTCCCCGCTTGTCCCTGCCGGCCGTCCCGGTGGGGGCGGCGACGGCAGGTAGCTCCGAAGCCGATTCTCCGCGCCGGCCGCGTGTGACTAAATATAATCCGCGCGGCGGGGGAGGCTGCCTCGGCGGCTCCAAGTGCTAATTTATGAGGGACGACAGCCAGCTCCCGGGGTGCCGGGCGGCGTGCACAGAGGACGCGCGCCGGGGGCTGGGGCCCTCGGAGTGGGCAGTCCCGCTCGGGCCTCCTCGGGGCGCTTTCCCTGCCGCGTTTCTCCCCATTGCACAGATGAGGCGCTTGAGGCTTGGGGGTGGGGTGCGACTCTCCCAAGGTCATGAGCAGTGACAACTGTCACTGCAGCGCGTGGGCCTCTTGGCCACTCGGATGGGGCGAGAGCCACTTTGGGCGTCCCTGCATTATCCTGGGGGTGGGGGGTGGTCGGAAGCTGGCTCTGGTTGGGCCCCCCGGAGGGTGGTCCTGGGGCCTTGGGTTTGAAGGCCCCTCCCAGGCCCCAGGCAGGAGCCTGATGGGGCAACGCCTGGCTTCCCAGCGGGCCAGAGCCGGCCCTACCCCCACTCCTCAAGACTACAGGTGGTGGGTGCGGACCCCTCCCAGAGCCCCCCAGGGCTGCTCCCACCTGCCCTCGTGGGCAGCCTGTCCTTACAAAGGGGGTGTGACGGGCGGCCTGGATGGTGGAGACGGCTGAGATGACCCCACTGCTCCTCCAGAAAGAAGTCCTGGCGATTTTGGTGGGCTCTGCCCTCCACCCCTGTTCTTCTCTACGGGCTCCTGTACCAGGGGCCCTGCCGAGCGTGGCCCCCAGGGGCACAGGCCCCCTCCCTCGCCCTGACCCCTGCCGCACCCCCGCCCCCATGTCCTCCCCGTGTCCCCTCACCGGGCTCCGTGTCCCCGCAGCGCTGTGCTTCGGCCTCACCCGCTCGCTGCTGCTGACCGCCCTGGTGACGGCAGTGCTGCTGGGGCTGCGCTACTACTACAGCCGCAAGGTGGTCCTGGCCTACCTGGACTGCGCCCTGCACACCGACATGGCCGACATCGAGCAGTACTACATGAAGCCCCCCGGTGAGTCCCCGAGGGCCCCAGCCCCTCCTCTTTCTCTCTCTGCCCCTCCGGCCCCCACCAGCCGCCCCTCCGGCAGGGCCAGGCTCGCCCTCAGCCCAGCAGCCTCCTGCCAGCCCTGGGGGGAAGGGCCAGGCAAGGGTGGGCCCCGGCACTGGACTTCTGGCAGAGAGTCGGGGTGCAGTGGGCTGGCAGAGACTGGCAGGCAGAACCCCCAGGCCCCGGGGGCTGAACCAAGGTCCCTGAGTGTCCATGTGGGCCCCTGGGGGCCTCAGTCTGTCACCCCCTGAAGGGGGCTGCCCTCTGCCCTCTCCTGGCGCTCGCCGAGGGTGGGCCCTCCTCGGTGTCACGGGCCCCATCTGGTCCCAGCTGCTCCTTGGGGCCCTGCTGGCTGCTGGGCTGGCCTGGCGCCTGGGTCCCAGTGTGGGGGCGTGTGTGGCAGGGCGGCAGGGACCCTACGTTTCAGCCCTTTCTGGTCTGTGGGCCACTCAGTGAGCCCCGGCCCCAGGCAGTAGCCTGGTGGGGCAACTCCTGGCTTCCCAGCTCCTTGGGGCCCTGCTGGCTGGGTCTCGCCCCAGGCCCCTAGCAAGGCCTCCTGCCCAGGGAGGGGCCCGGACCTGGTCCGGGGGGGCCCTGTCTGCCCTCCAGGCAGGCCAGGTCCTGGGACACAGGCCCCGGGCTTCTCCATGCCTGGAGCCGACGACAGATTCCTCAGTGTGGCCCTCTGGGGTGTGGGGGTCTCCCTGGGTGGAGGGGAGGGGACAGGATGGGCCCGGATGGTTGGTTGAGGTCTATCTAGCAAGAGTCTGGGGAGTGTCAGGAAAGGACAGCGGGGGAGAAGATAGGCAGGGTGCCCCAGAGCACGGGCGACCCTCCCTGGCACTGCCGGCTCCAATGGAGGCTGGTCCCACCCGCCCCCACCCCGCCCCTGGCTGGCTGGCCTTGGGCACCTTTGTTTTCCCTAACCCTTCCCCGAGCCCAGACAAAGCACCTTGTCAGCCTGGTGGAGCCCTCGCTGCAGCCTGGCTCTGCCTGTGACCCGGGGGCAGGGGCCACGGGAGCCGAAGGGGGCTCGCTGGGGGCAGGATGTGGCTCGGGGACCCTGCGCTCCGGCCTGCACCCACTCTCGGGTGGCAGTCTGCCTGAGCGTGACGTCGGGAGGGGACCCGTGCCACCCTCTGAGACGTCCGGAGGGTCTGAGAAAGGCCCCTGGGGGCAGAGTGGCTGGGCAGTAGCTGACGGGGCCGTGCTGGACTTACGGGGAAACTGAGGCCCGGGAGGGGCAAGGTTCCCAGGACTGCCCTGACCTGTGGTGGGCGGGGCGGGCGGGCCGGTGGGTTGACAGTCAGGGGCAGCATGCCCTCAGCACCCAGCTCAGCTGACCCCACCACGCTCGAGCCCGGGTCAGGCCTCGGAGTGTGGCCGGAGACGATGGGAAGCCTTGCAGCCTGAGCTGCTGGCCTGACGGGGGGGCGGGTGCTGCAGGGAGGCCAGGCGGTGGGGGCCCCGGGGCCGGTGGGGGAGTGCGGAGTGTCTTCTGGGCAGGGCTCAGCGGCAGAGCTTTGGGGGACAGAGTTTGGCCACTCTCGGGGGGAGTTGGGGTGGGAGAGCCCAGAGGCGGGGGCTGGGGTGTCCACGAGCAGGGTGGGCACAGGCCAGGCCCCTCAGAGTGGGAGCCCCCCGCCCCCAGCCAGCCCTTGCCCCCCACTGCCTCTGGGCCTTTGGTTGCCGGTCGCCCCGGGCGCTCCCAGGGGCCGGCGCCCTGCAGCCCCGAAGTCCTCTGGTCTTTGCTCCCGCTCCCCTCCTTGCTGAGGCCTTGTTCCCTGGGGCCTGCTCCAACCTCCCCGCTCTGCCCGGGGCTGTGATGGGCCGGGGCCAGGGCTGGGGACAGCTGGCCTGGTCCCCGGGCTGGCTGCCCAGGAGAGGCCAGGGTCAGTGGGGGCGGCGCCCCGGGCCGTCCCAGTCTCCTCACTGGGGTTTCTCAAGTGTCGGCAGACCTCCCCTGAGCCTGCTGGAGGCCCTGGGGCTCCCAGCCCAGCAGCCTCTGACCCCGGAGAGAGGAGGCCCCAGGGCTGGCTCGGCCACAGGCCCCCGAGACCTTCCGAGACCCCCCGAGGTTCTGGCCCTTTCTGCCGCCCTGGCCCGCCTTCCCGGACCTTCTCAGCTCCCACTGTACGGAGCCTTCCCGATGCTCCCTCCTGGCACCTGGCTCCCTGGTGTGGACACCTGGGGATGAGGGCGGTGGGCGCCAGGTGGCTGGGAGCCAGGGCAGGTCGGCTGCACCGTGGCCTCTCTGTGGTTCCCCGTAGCTCTCCGGGCATTCGGCGGGGGTCGCTGGGCAGGGGAGGGGCCTGCCTGGGCACCAGGGGTGGGGGGTGGAGTTCGGGCCCAGGGCCAGGGGCCATGCTGGGCCCCCGGGGCAGCCGCAGCCCTGACCGCCCTGTCCCCCGCAGGCTCCTGCTTCTGGGTGGCGGTGCTGGACGGCAACGTGGTGGGCATCGTGGCGGCGCGGGCCCACGAGGCGGACAACACCGTGGAGCTCCTGCGCATGTCCGTGGACTCGCGCTTCCGCGGCAAGGGCATCGCCAAGGCGCTGGGCCGCAAGGTGCTGGAGTTCGCGCTGGTGCACGACTACTCGGCGGTCGTGCTGGGCACCACCGCCGTCAAGGTGGCCGCCCACAAGCTCTACGAGTCGCTGGGCTTCAGACACATGGGCTCCAGTGACCACTACGTGCTGCCCGGCATGACCCTCTCGCTGCCCGAGCGCCTCTTCTTCCAGGTCCGCTACCACCGCTACCGCCTGCAGCTGCGCGAGGAGTGACCGCCGCCCGCCCGCCGCCGCCCGTCCACCTGCGCCCGCCCGCCCGCCGCCCGGGCCGCTCTCAGACGCTCGCCTCGGCGCACCTGCCGGGTTCTCCCGTTCTCAACACCCCGCGGTTCTCTGGCTGCTTGTGGGGGCGGGGCCGCCGCTCGTCCGGGACTCTCGGGGGGGTGGGGCCGCCGCCGCTGGGCCCCGCCCTCCTCAGCCTGCGGGCCCCGCCCTGAGGAGTGGCGGCACCGACCACCACCTGCCCACGCAGGGGCCCGGCTCTGGCTCCCGGGGCTCCCGGCCCGAGGCCGTCCAGGCGGGCCCGGCCTGGCCCGCCGGAGCACAGAACCTCGGCAGGGGAGCCCTGCCCAGCAGACGCCTGGCCACCAGCCAGGCTCCGGCCCGGCCGTCGCTCCCCAGGAGGCGTGGCCTGCTGGGCCGGCCGGCCGCGGCCCCAAGGGCCCCTCCGCTCTGTGCATGCCGAGCACGTGGCCTGGCTGCAGCATGCTGCATGCCCGCGGCGCCCGCCTTGCCGCCCTGCCCACCGGGCCCGGACTGGAGAGCGCCCCTGCCCAGCCCCGAGCCAGCCCCGGCGGCCCCCTGCTCTCGCGAGGGCCGGTCCCGCCAGCCCCTTGCTGCGCCCAGTTCAGCTTTGCTTTGACACCCAATCACCTTCTTTCCTTTCGGTCCCTGCCCCTCCCCTGCCTGGGCTTTGCTGATTGGAGCCAACACCCAGGTGTGGTTCCCATAGCAACCCAGGGCACAGCCTCGGTCAAGGCCCTTCAGGAGAGCGGGTCGGGAGCCTCTCCCCCGGCGCCAGCTAGCCCCGGCGGCCGCTCCGCCTGCCCGGGACCTCCCCGCCTCACAGCCCACGGGCCCTGCCCTGTGAATCTTACTAACCGAGGCCGCCGCCACCGCCACCGAGCCCACAGCTTCTCCCGGCCTGGAACCGACCTATTTTTTAATAAGTTACTTAGACAGAATAGCACTCTGCATGTCTTTAATTCTCGGGACAAAACGGTAGTTCGTACCTTCACACGCGAGCACACACACGCACCGGTGTGTGGTCTAGCACATGCACTGTTTCTGGCCCAGTGTGGTGGGGGTGGGTGGGGGGGTTTGAAGTCCGGAATCTGGAGGGAGACCCTGATGTAGCATCGTTTTCCCGGTCTGTGGGAGGCTGTGGGCGGCCCCACCCAGCCCCGACGTGCCGCAGCCTCCTGGAGGGGCCGGTGGCCTCGCCGCCCACCGTGGCTGGGGGCCGCCTGTGCGCAGCCGGCCGTGGAGGTCGGCGGCCGCCGGGGCTGTCGGGCGCGGGGGGGACCCGGATGGCACAGGCTGGCGGTGGCTGGATGCCCTGCTGTGAGCCTGGACCCGGCCACGGAGACCCCTTTACTCGGGGGTCTGCAGGAAGGGGGAATGGCAGGCTGAGGGGGCCGCCGGCCCGGGGCCCGCCTGCGGGACCACGGAGGGGACGCTCGTGAAAGGCCCTTCGGAAATCAGAGTGTGAGCGGGATGCCCGCTCCCGCGGCGCGTTCTGCGCTGCCGGCGACGCGATACTTGCAGAGCCCTGTACAGACCCCGCTCCCCTGTACATACCCCTGGTGGCGCCCGGGCCCCGCCCGGGGTGGGAGTTTTGTAGACTGTACAGAAATCGGCACCCTATTTTCTTGCAGTTCTCAGATTTTGTTAACCTGGATTATACAGACAGACGTAAAGTGTTTTAGCAAAACGGAAACAGCTGTGCCTTTCTCCTCTTTCCGTTCGGCTGGGTTTGGGCTTAGGGCGACCTCAGTCGCCGGGGGGCCTGGGGTGGGCGGTGGCCTTGTGGGGTCGGCGCGGTGGCGCACGCTGGGACAGCGCAGGGGTGCCAGCAGCTTCCTCTGAGCCTGTGCCTTTGGAGCCTCTGAGCCCTGGGGTGGGGGCAGGTGGGTGGAGCCTGTGGCCGCGGCAGAGCCTGCACCCCGGAGCTGCCCATGTCTGGTTGACGCTGACCACGGCGCCCGGGGGATGTTGCTCCTGGACAGCGGTGTGGCCACTGCGTGTTCCGCGGGCGCCTGTCTGAGGGGGACGTGGGTGGGCTGCTGTGTCTCCCCCGATCAGACGGTTTAGAGAGGGTGGACGCTGCCTGGACCTGACCTTCCTCGCTGCCCTTGGCTGCTGCCGGGACTTGGGAGGGAAGTCAGGAGGCTGTGGCAGGGCGGCCGAGTGCCTGGGCCCTGACGCCTGGCCAGCCACCGAGGGGCAGGGGCGTGCCCTGCGCCCTGGACTGGGCCTCGCCAGCGTTCAGCTCCGCAGACCCTGAGGTCCCCCAGGAGCAGGTCTCCCGTCCTCCCCCTCGGCCGGAGACCAGGCACCCTGGGGTGGGGGCCACCCTGGCTGGCCGCATCCCCCCGGCCTGGGCGCTGCCTGATCCGCAAACGTGCCCTGCGATGTGGGTTTTGTGTGTAGAAATCGCGATGTGACTTCTGCCTCCGTGAAGCGACCTTTGGGGGCCCTGCTCAGTGGCAGTCCCGCCAGCTTCTCAGCTGTGGCCGGCCCCATGGCTGCTTGGCGAGGCTCAGGGAAGGGCAGCCCTGGGCCGGGCGTCCGCGCTCAGGGGTCCGGGCTGCCAGGACCCTCGTTGTCTGGGAGCCTTTGTGGAGTGTTCCGGAACGTCTTTCTTGGACGGGCAGCTCCTGTGGTGTGACCAGGGCAGCACAGGGCTCCAGTGCCACCAGGGTCCCGGAGTGTGGCTGCTGGGCCACCCCAAGGCAGGCCCCGCCGCACGGGCAGGGCTCTGCAGACAGCTGGCTCCCAGGGGCGGGGGGCGGCAGGTGCCGCGGCCAGCCCTGGGGCCAGGCCCGGTGGGGGGCCAGGGCAATGTGACCCACCTTCCACCCCACCCACGTCCAGCGTGGCCTCCCTCTGCCACCCTTGGGTGGAGGCGGTGGTGGGCCGGGGACGGCCTGCCCTGAGCGGGTGGAAGGCCTGTCCTGGGGGGCTAAAGGTCAGGCTGGGAGGCCCCGTGGGTGGGTGGCCCCTTCCTGCTTTGGGTCCCCGTCCTCAAGAAGACCCTTGGGGGAGGTGGGGGACAACATGCTCCCCAGGTGGCTTCTCAGGGTGTCCAGCAAGCGCTTGGGCGGTGCTCAGGGCCACAGGGCCCGGCCCCGACCTCTCGGGGGCGAGGCGGCGCGCTGGCAGGCCCAGGGCCGATGGGGGCCCCCCGCCCTGGAGCTGGCAGGCACAGTGCTGGGGCTGCTCTGGGGACCGGGTGGCGCCCAGGGAGCACCCGCGGGGGGGGACGGGGGGGGCGGCATCGCTGCTGCGTCCACCTGAAGCCACGCGTGTCGGTGTGGGCCTCGGGCCCACGTCCCTGTGAAGGCAGCCCTCTGCGTGGGGCGCGTGGGGCGCGTGGGGCGCGTGGCCTGGGCCGGGCAGGGGCCGACCCTGGACGGTGCGCCCCTCGGTGCCGGGCACACGGTCGGGGGTGCCGTGGGAGGGCGGGCCTGGGGTGCCATCGTCGGATGCACTTTTTTTAACAGCAATAAGTAGCCATGTGAACAAATGAAGGGGCGTGCCTCTGATGTGTGCAAGCGTGTCTGTGTGCCCGTGTGCATGTGTGACGTGAATGTGCGCCCGTGTGTGGTGACCGGCGGGGAGCCTGGGCGGGGGGGCTGTGCCCCGGGTGCTGCTGCTGTGGGGTGGGGCCTGCGGCCCCGTGGCTGTGACCGTGGTGTCCCCCCAGGCAGGGTGCCGGACCCCGGTCCGTGTTTGCCGGGGTCTCTGGGCACACGGCGGCGGGGGGGGGGGGGCGGGGGAGCGGGGGGGGGGGGCGCCAGGATCAGATCTGGGGACACAGAGGAGCCGGCTCAGCCAGGCTGCGTGGCCGCTGCTGCTGTGGACACCAAGTCTTCGGCCGGGTCCACCCGAGCCCGTGGCAGTGCTACGTGGTTCCCCGTCCGCGACCCGCCCTCGGGCAGCCGTCCCGAGACCCCGGGAGGGGCCCACACAGCCCCCGGGGGTGGCTGGCGTGGCGGTGGGCTGAGTTCCGGAGGAGCTGGGGCCGCATGGGTGGGGGCGCAGCCTCCGAGGGGCCTGGTTGGGGGGCGGGGCCCGGCGGCACTGCCTGCAGGGCCCTGGCGCTGCCATGTTCAATAAAGCCCAAGTCAACGGAACCGGCTCCGAGCCTCCCTGAGCGACCCCAGCCCTGCACGCCGGGTGGGGCCGCCGTTCTGCAGACCCTGGGCGGTGCCCCCGCAGGCCGAGGGGCCGAGGGGCCCTGTCCCTGGCTGGCTGCCCCTGCAGGGGGCTGCGCCGCAGGCCGGCGTGTCCGCTGCTGGCCTCGGCCCCGTGGGGGGAGCAGTGGGGCCTGCAGTCTGTGAGGGAGGGGCAGCGACGTGGGGGGTGGGATGGGGAGAGGTCGGGGCGGGGGGCGGGGGACACCCGGCCTTGCTGACCGGCCCCGCACCCTGGCCCGCGCCCACACAGCCCCTCCCGCAGCGCCTGTGCTGCACCCCCCGGAGCGCACAGGTGGGTGTGCCCTCCTCCCTGGGACCGTCCGAGTCAGGCCGGGGTCAGCGGGTCGCAGAGCCTGACGGACGGGTCCCAGGACGGGCAGCCCCTCGGCTTCCTCCCTGCGGAAGGAGGAAGGCTCCCGTGGGCCAGGCTGTCCCCCAGGCCGGGCCTTGGTTCTGAGCAGGCCTCCCCGAGCCGGGGCCTCCAGTGGCTGTGCCTGAGGGCCCGGCCGCCCGCAGAGGGGCACCGCACAGGCCCCACTGCTCCGAGACTGGAGGCGGGGTCTGGGAGCTGTGAGAGGGGTGGGGCTGTGCTGGGCCGAGCACGGTCCCCAGAGGAGGCCCGGCCGTGTCCGGTGGGCTCTGCGGGGCTGGCAGCACGGACACCCGGCGGCCACGCTCTCAGGAGAGCAGCCTCAGCTCAGGCGGGAGGCGCGTCTGGGCGCCTGTCGGCACGTTGCCCGGCCCCCGACAGGTCGGAGCCCGGGGCCAGACGAGGGGGCTGGTGGGAGGGGCGGAGGCCCTTCAGGGGGCCGGGGAGGTCTGGAAATGGGCGCCGGGGCCCAGGGCGGGGCCGAGGCCACAGAGCAGGGGCGGGGTCCGGGCTGCAGTCCCAGCCGGGCTCTTGCCAGCCCTGCGTGCTGCTACCTGTGACTCAGCCCTTCCATGCAGGGGTCGCCTCTCAGGCTGCTGCGAGGCTGCTGGGGTGCCCAGCTGGGCCCTTGCCTGGGCCCCGAGGGCCTGGGGCACCTGCTTGGAGAGTGGATGGGGCTCGGGGATCCGGCCTGACCCCAGGGCCTGGCTGTGGGCCTGCCTGAGGCTCATGGGGCGACCGCCCGGCCCCGGCCACCGGCCCTGGGTGCTCGCCCTGATGTGGGCCTGGGGGCTGCGGACTGTGGGCGTCCCCCAGCCCCGGAAGGAAGTCGCCCAGACAGGCACAGGGACAGCGTGGTGTGCGGCGTTTACTCCAGGGCACGGCCCAGAACCCTCTGCAGCCGGGTTCTGCTGGCACAGACAGGCAGCCGCTGACCATGGGCAAGGCCACGGCCTGGGCCGGTGGAAACCGGTTCTGTCCTCCCGCTGTCGCCTGGGGCTACAGACAGAATCCAGGGGGGAAATGCAGGCGCGGGGTGCAGGTGCTGACCAGGGGCCCGGCGGCGGCCTGGCGGTTGCTTGGAGACTCCGCAGGACGTGGGTGTGGCCGAGGGTCCGGGGCCTCCTGCAGGGGCACCAGGTGTCCCCAGGAGCGGCCCGCACTCAGGCTCACCTTCAGGGGCACCTGTGGATGGCGGCCAGAGGTGAGCACCAGGCCACGGCGCACAGGCAGGACGGACGCACGCTCCCAGGGACAGGCAGGCAGGCTCACACCACGTCCACACCCCGTCCATTCTGCGGAGCCACCCACCTGACCCGCCAGCACCCGCGTGCCTGCAGGGGCGGGGCCGGGCAAGGCGCCCTACCTGTGCAGGCGACCTCGGGGCCCTGCTCCCTGGGGGGCTGGCGGGCCCTGAGAGGTGCCAGGGAGTCCTCCCCGGGGCCTTGCGCAGGACTCTGGGCCATGGCTCAACAGCTCCCTCTCAGTAGGGTCGGGGGAGGGGCTGCCCAGAGCCGTAGCCCCTGCCAGCTGTAGGAATACGGTGGGGGGGGGTCTGGGTCCCCAGGGAATGGAAGTCCCCCTGCGTCTGGCTGCACCCGTCAGCCACTGCTGGGGGAGGAGGCGAGAGGTGCCCCGTGGGGTCCCGGGGCACGCAGTGGGGCCTGCAGCCACGGGGGAGGCTGGAGGAGGGGAGCACCTGCCTGCTGGGGGCTCCCAGGTGCCTGTGGGCCAGAACGCCCTCCAGAGAGACAGGGACAGAGGCAGGAATGTCTGTCCAGCCCAGGTGGTCTGCACAGGCTTTGGGGTCTCCGCCGCCTCGCCGCCCTTCCCTCCTCCCGCGGCCCTGGGGAGCCCCTCAGAGGGGTGGCTGGGCAGGACAGGGGTGGGGACCTGGCTCGGCAGGGCCCAGGGAGCCCCTGGGGCAGGTGGGGGCAGCCCTGGGTGGAGCCGGACAACCCTCCTTGCCAAGCCTCGAGGGACACCTGGCCCGGCTCCCGAGGACACCCACTGCTGCTCTCGCCAGGCAGAGGGGCCACCCCTCGTCACCCAGGGTGGCTTAGCTCCTCACAAGGCGGGGGGGGGCAGCCTGGGGGCTCGGGTGCTGCAGGCCGGGCTGGGGCCATGCCCTGTCCCGGCTCACCTGCCCTGGGGGAGGGAGCGGGGCTCTTTCCCACCTGGGGGTGACCACCTGGCCCCTGCCCCTCCCCCTCACCTGCAGCCGCAGCTCCAGGGCCCTCACGTGCTGCACGGACTCCATGGCTCCCCTGACAAGAGCTGGGTGGGGGGGGGAAGGGTGGTGCTCAGTCCCAGGGCAGAGTGGGGCCGTGAGAACCCCAGTCCTCTGCCTGCCCCCTGCGCTCCGGGCGTGGCTCCTGCTCCCCCGGCCACGTCCACGGCACAGGCCTGAAGGCCCCTTAACTGTCCCGACTGTGGGCCCCCAGGTGGGGAGGGTCCTCCTGGCCCCGCAGTGCCGAGGCCCCACCCCCAGGCTTCTCAGCTGTGGGCCTCCCTCCCCCTCAGGGTGCCTGCAGGGCCAGGCGGGTGTCACCCAGAGCCCCAGGGGCCCAGAGGGGGGAGGCAGCCAGGGCGGGGGCCGCTGTGCCCTCCCAGGTCCCAGAGCGAGTCCAGGCAACAGGGCTCAAGGGCCCGTCGGGCAGCCCCTGGCTGGTGCGGCGGCCCCACGGCCACTGTGAGCAGCTGCGCTCGGCCCGGAGGGGGCGGCCTGGCGGGGTGCAGGCCGGTGTGGCTCGGCCCCTCGGAGTTGGCCGCCCCTTCAGTGAATGGGGGGCCCTTCGTTCCGTCCTCCCGAGCTGCCCGACACCTCAGTACGGAGGCTTGGACAGGGACACCCAGGAGCAGGCAGACTCGGCCTCAGCCTCGGCCCGCCCGTTCTCGCCAGCGAGGCCAGAGTGGGAGCACCCGCCCCCGCCAGCAGGCGGGACCCCCCCACCCGGAGAAGGCAGCCGCCCAGGCTGGGGCCCTGGTGGAGCGCCGGTCCCGAGGGCTGCCGGGTTAGGGTGCAGGGCACACGCAGCGAGAGGCGGGGACGCAGCCTGCCCCCGCCCCCCCCCCCCCCTGCAGACTCCTGACCAGACCCGGAGACGCCGGAGCTCCCCTCCCTGAGACAACAGCGTCCCCGTCCCCCTCGGGGCTCACCTGCGAACTCAGCAATCTGAGGGTCTTCCACCTCAAACAGCAGCTCGTCGTGGATCTGGGCGACCAGCCTGGAACACACACAGCGGGCAGCGAGTCACCCCTCGACGGGGCAGTGAGGACGCCTCCCTCGGTCTGCCCAGCAAGGGGGCACCCCCCGGGGGGCGTGCGCACAGGGGTGCAGGCGAGGCCGTGGGCTGGCCCCCCTCCCAGTCTGGCGCAGGGAGTGGGGGAGGCTGCAGCTCAGTGGGGTGTGGCAGGGCCCAGCAGGGGGCTGCTGCCTGGGTCACCCTGCCACCTGGGCGCCTCCGGGGAGGAGGGGGCGCAGGCCGGAAGTGACCTGTGAGTGGAGGCGGAGGGCCCAGAGGGAGGGCTGCCCCCCCCCCGGGGGACCTGGCGAGGGCGCGCGGGGCAGAAGGCCCACGCAGCGAGCAGGAAGAGCCCTGGGGGGCGTCGGGCCCCGGTGAGGGCTTGGGAGGAGGGTCTCCACTGACCACCGGCTGTGCGGGCGGGCAGGCGCACCTCCCGCCCTGAACACTACTTCGGGGGGGTGGGGGGGGTGGCGATGGGAGGGACACTCCTTTTCCAAGTTCACTTCTGCAGTCGAAGGAACACCTAATGAAACGTGGAAAGCACACTCAAAATGCCACACTGCAAACACAACACCTGCACGCCCCAGCTGCCCCGGCTGGCCGGGACCGGGTGCGTCTTCCCTCTCGTGGGGGCCTCGGCCCCGCACCCCCCCACGCCCCCCCCACCATGCCCCATCACAGGCCTGAGTCCTCATCACTGGAGGCCGCCCCTCCGAGCCCCTCCATGCCTGCCCAGGGGCAGGGCCTCAGCAGGGCTCAGACTTCGGTGAGGCTGACGGGGCAGTGGGTGTGAAGGTGTGTGTGGGGCGGGGGCGGGCACGGAGCCGCAGCCCACCCAGGACCAGCCCACCCAGGACGGCTCCGAAGCTCTGAGCCGGCTGCACAGGGTGGTCCTGCAGCTGGGCCGCCCCTGCTCACCGGAGGAGGGTCTGGGCCGGCTCCTGCGTCCTGGGCAGGGGACGTCTGCCCCTCCCTCGGTGGATGGAGGTGGCGCCCCTGCCCCCTGGGGGAGGGGGAGGTGTGGAGCGCTGACCCACAGGGCCACCTCGGGCGTCTGTGGCCCTCGGGGAAGGTCGGTGGGTGTGAGGGGTCCCGTGTGCCCTGCCCCCCGTGCGACCTGGCTGCAGTGTCCAGGGCGAGGCCTTCAGAGGCAGGGCTGTGTCCAGTCCTGCCGCCTCCTGCCTGGCAGGCGCAGCGTGGACACGAAGGGGCGGCAGGCAGACCGCCCCGCATGGTGGAGCGGGGGGCCCAGACTGACCAGGCGGGGGGCTGACAGGGAGGGTGTGGCGAGGCCCACAGGCAGGTGGCGGGCATGTGGAGGGGGCCCGGGCTGGGGGCGGGCAGCTCTCCAACCCCGGGGCAGATGGACAGCGCACACTTTCTGTGGAAGATGTGCAGGACCCTGCAGCAGAGACTCAGGGGGTGTCTCCCCTGCACCCCGCCCCTCTGTGGGTCCCGGGCTGGGCATGGGCTGTGTCCGAGGCTGGCTCCCAGACGGGATGGGGGCCCCAGGCAGGCCCCTCCAGGGCGGACTGGCCCGTCACTGCTTTCTCTCTGCCCAGAAGGCACCACGACAGCCACAGCAGCCACTCCCACTCCCAGTGCAGCATCAGGAGGGACAGGACCGGGGGTGAGGTGGGGGCCCCAGCCCTGCTGTCCGGAACCTCGGAACCGAAGCCGGCACCCGTGGTGCTCTGGGCGCCTCAGGCCGGGTCACCACGCGAGAGAGCACGTCCCCACGGGGGAGACTCCCCAGGCCATCCTGCGGGGCCCAGGCCCCGAGCGGCCCCCGGGCGGGGGGCCCATGTTCTCTGCGGTCCAGGGCGGTGGGCGCTGCCCTTCCGGACGTCGGGGCAGGCGGGCAGCACTGGCGCCGCCTCTGACTGACTGCTCGGCCGCGGTGGGGCCGCGGCTCCCGCGGGGACTCAGCGCTCAGACCGGCAGACACCTCTCCCCAGACAGACGCCAGGGCGGCCGCGCCCGAGATCACGCGGCAGGGCCCTGGGCGCGGTGCGGCGGCGGCGACCCAGGAATAGGCCTGGGCTGTGAGTCACTCACACATCCCCTCACAGCCAGGGTTCTCGCTGGAAACTGGGGCGCGGGGAGAGGCGCGGGGAGAGGCGTGGGGTGCGGGGCCCGGGACACAGGCCTCGGGGCCGCTGCTCCGGGGGCCGGCTGACCGCTGTGGTGACTCCCCCCGTGGCCCTGCGCCGTGACCGTCGCTGAGGGCGCAGAGCAGCGCCACGCCGTGCCAGCCAGGGCCGCTCCCAAGGGGCCTCGTCTCCTGTCCCTGGGGCGGTGCCCCCCTACCCCCCCGGGCCGAGCCCCTCTGTGCCGGCCAAGCCTGGCCCCGGAGCTGCTCCGAGTCCCCCCCAAGGCGTCCTTGTCCGCCCTCCAGACCAGCCCGGGGCTCTCCTCCAGGGTTCCCCGCAGCCCCCTCCCTCTCCAGGCCGGCGAGTCCAGGTCCTGCCTCACCCCCAGCACAGTCCTCCGAGGCCATGCTCTCCGAGTGGCAGCCCCCCTGCCTCCCCTGCGCCTGGGGCACTGTCTTTGCCCCTTTTGGAGGCCGAGGGGCGAGTGCCCTGGGGTGCTGGCTGAGACCTGGCCACAGACCTGGCCACAGGCCTGGCCAGGGGGTGCCCTGGGTGCTGCCACCCGGGAAGGCAGCCAGAGGTCAGAGGACGCCCGGGGCGAGCACCCGTCCGCCAGTGCCCGCAGGCGCCCTGCTGTCCCGGGCGAGGACTGGGTGTCCCCCTGGGGCTGCCCCCTCGGCCGTGGCTGCAGCCAGGGCTCCCGGTCCTGTCTCGGAAGCACAGGGCGAGGCGAGGCCGCGGCTCCCAGCGGGGAAGCCCGGGCCGGTCCAGCTGAGTGGATGTGGATGCGCTGGGTCGTGCTCTGAGCCTCGGTTCCCCCGCTCCTCGCGCAGGTGCGGGGGCCGACAGCGCCCCAGGCTTCTCTCCAGCCCCCCACGCTGCTGCCCAGCAAGGACTTCTCCCAGGGGCCCCGTCCCCGGGCCCACCAGCTCCGAGGACGGCGCCGGAGACGAGCGGGGTCCCAGCTGACCGACGGCAGAGCTCAGGTGGCCGGCTTGCTGTGGGTCTGTGGGCAGCAGGGGACCTGCCCCGAGATTGCAGCCCACAGGGGACCTGGGTTGACGGGGTGGGGCTCTCGCGGCGGGGTGTCCCTGCACGACCACGGGCCGCCTGGACACACCCGGTGCTCGGGCTGCTGCAGGCAGACGCCGCACTGGAAGCCCGCCCGCGTCCCCCCTGCACACAGGCCCGGGCCCTCCCAGGGGCCGCTCTGGGGCAAGCAGGCCACGCCCAGGAAGCACAGAGCGGGAACCCCGCCGAGCCCACCCGCCTGCCCGGGCTTCTGCGGCGGCACGGTGCGCTCTGTCACGGAAAGCACGCCTGAAGCCAGCGGGGGCTGACGACGGACAGGTGGTCGGCCGGGCTGTTCGTGTCCCGGGCGAGAGCTGTGAGGCCCACCTCGGGCTCTGTCCCTGAAAGGACCCCAGGCCCTCACGCAGCAGCGTCCTTGCCCAGCCCACACAGCCTGCAGCGGACCAGCCTCTCTCGACTCCCGCCGGCACGGACGCGGGAGGACGCGCCTCAAGGGCGAGCGAGCTCGGGGCCCTCGCCCCCTCCCCCCAGCGCACCCCACAGAGCCGCCCCCCTGGGCGGGCTGCCCGGGCTCGGGGGCCGCGGGAGGCTGCGCAGCAGAGACTCAGGGAGGGCGCAGCACTGTCCCGTCTGCTCCTGCCTCCGCTGTCCCCACTGAAGCCAGAGACGCAGCACCCACTGCGGGGCAGGGACAGCAGGGCCTCTGGGGTCTCAGCCCGGGGGCGTGGGGCGGGGGGCCGCCCAGGCCCGGCCCCCTGCCTGGCCGCCCCTCGCTGGGGTGGGAGGCGGAGCGTGGACAGAGGGTGCGAAGGGGGGTGGCCGACAGGGGTTCTGTGCGGCCCGGGGACGGCCCCTCCCCTCCCCTGACCAGGACGCCACTCCGCAGCCCCGGGGTGGCCTTCGCCCGGCACGCGCTCGTGTGTGACGTTGCTGAGAGCGCCCAAGGCACACAGGCTCAGAAGCCAAAGCGAACAACGGCAGGAATCGCGTGGAGAGAGCGAGCAGGTGGCTGTGCGGAAAGACGGAAGGTTCCAGGTGAGGAAGAAGTCACGCCCACGGAGGGCAAAACGGCGTCGGAGGCCCAGGGGGAGTGGACCCTCAGGTGGGACGGGGCGGCCACAGGCACGCAGGTCCCGATGCCCAAAGGCGGCAGGAGAATAGACCCAGCTGGCCTCTGCTGGACACGCCTGCCCGTGGGGGCTGGGGGGGGGGGCGTGACGCCCCCGGGGGTGGGGCTGGTGAGGCCACGGCACGTTTCGTGGTCGTCCAGAGAAGTGCTGCCCATCTGCTGTGAGCCGGTCCTCAGCGGCGGGCATGCCGTCCGCTTGGGGGGGCGGGACCCTCCGGCAGGTGTGCCCAGGGGCGAAGGAGGGGGTGGCCAGACCCACTGGAGTCTGACGTGCTGGCTTGTCTGGGGACTTCAGGCTGGCCGCCTGGCACGCAGGGCCAGGAGCTGGTGAGCTGGGTCGGGTGGTTCTGGGCCAGGGCGCCTTGTCACCCAGCTCCCCGGACACTCAGGGAGTGGGCCCGGGGGCAACCGCAGCCGAGGCAGGACGGAGAGCTGTGCCTGGCAACCCTGGCACGGCCCCACCTCCAAGGTGTGCCGGAGCCCCAGCAGGGGCGGCAGCAGGAGCCCGCGTCCTGTCTGAGGGTGCGCGGGCAGGCAGGCGGGCAGCGGCTGCACCCAAAGGGGTCCAGAAGCCCCGAGGGGAGGGCCCGCCCGGAGAGGCCCCGGGGAGAGCGTCTGTCGTCACGCGTGCGGCTCTGAGCAGCCCCCGTGTGCGTGGCCCCGCCCGGGGGAGGAGAGGGCCCTCCCAGGAGTGCTGAGGGGGGCTCAGACTCAAGGGGTCCCCTTGCTGGGGGGTGGTGACCTCGTCGGAATCATGACCCAGGGCCACGGCGGGCGGGAGGCCTGGAGTGCGTGCGTGCGTGCGTGCGTGCGGGCCAGCCGTGGAGCAGCAGGCCCCCCCGCCCCGGGGGAGGCAGGGGCACACACCCACCGCGCCGGCCACACCCTCACTGACCTGGCGGTCAGGGTGGGGGAGGCGGCCACTGCAGCGAAGATGTGGGTCATGGCCATCTTGCAGAGGTCTGCGGCCGAGCCTGCGGGCCAGAGGTCCGGTCTCACGGGCAGTGTCGGGCCCGTCCCCGCAGGGACTGCCCGGCACTAGCCGGCTGTCCTGGCTTTCCACGCTGACCCCCAACCGCCGGTCCACCACCTCACGGTCCCCGCTCAGGCCCGCAGGTGAGTGCAGACCCAGCCGCGGCCTCGTCCGGACTCGGCCAGGGGGACGCCCGCCCACATCCAGGGACCTCGGCAGGGCCGCCCTGGCGAGGCGGGCGCCGTGGCTTGCTGGCGTGCGTGTCCACCTCGCGGAGGCAGACCTTCCCCGCAGGCGCCGGCCGCGGCTCGTCCCAGGCCCCTGCCCAGAGGCCCAGGTGGGCTCGGTGGCCCGTGCAGCCCTCGGGTGCGCAGCCCTCACGGGAAGGACTCCCCAGCACTGCTTCCACAGCCCCTCGCTCAACCCAGGGCACACGCCAGCCCCGCGCCGTGCACACGCCCAGGGGACAGAGACCCGTGTTCATGGCCCGCGCCTCCCTCACGCCCGGGAGCCTGCCTCACAACCAGAGGCGTCTCCGCGTTTGCCGGGCTCTCGTCTGCCCGTCACGCTGGGAGACGGCTTGGGAAGGCTCCCGCTGAGCCCGTCCTGCCCTCCCTGTGCCTCTCCGTGGGGTTGGCTGGGCCTCGGCCTTTGTCCCCCTCCCCCTCTGCTGGGGTCCCCGGCCACCCTCTCGCTGCAGAACAGCCCCCCGCGGGTGGGGTGGCGCAGTGGGCGCCCTCGGGCTGGGCTCGGGGCCTGGGCTCTGCCTCTGTGCCCTGTGCAGTCCTGGCTGGGGCGACGCCCGACTCCCAGCCGACCCGGAGGCCGAGCCAGGACGGCTCACGGCGCGCAGGGCGAGAGGCCCGTGGCTCCATCTCTCACTGCAGCCCCACGCAGACACATGAGCTATTTGTGAGCTGTGGCTGAGGGTGACTAAGGTGTTTTCGTAACTGGAGGCAAACAGTGTGGTGTCACCGCCAGCTGCTTCCCGTGGCGGGGGCCGGGGGGGCCGAGGACGGGGGGGCGGGTGCAGGGGCTGTGGTGGCAGGGACTCGCCGTGTGTGGGTGCCCTGCTCGAGCCCTTAGGCTGCCAGGCCTGAGGGCACGACAGACAGTCCCAGGCCCAGGGCCCGGCCCTCATGCCCAGCTGGGTAAACTCCTAGGGCCCCAGGGCCCCGTGCAGACACAGGCAGCCCTGCTCCAGACCGTCCTTTGGGGGCAATGTTGTAACTGTAGAGGTCACCACATGCTGAACGCATCCCACCTTCTGGCCCACTCCACCACCGCCTCCCAGCAGTGCCTGCCAGGGAGGGCAGAAGCAGGAGATATGGGGACAGCAGTCTGGTCGGTGTCCCTGGCCCTGCCGCTGCTGGCCCGGGAAGGGCAGGGGCCCCACGGGTACCTTGCACCACGAAGTTCACCGCCTGCCGCTCGGCCTGGGCCCGGAGCTGCTGGTCCCGCGAGTGGATCGCCGGCAGCGGTCTCCTCCTGCCCATGAGGGACGTCACGTGGCCTGGGGGGCGCACCAAGGAGAGCGGGGTGAGGGGGAGCGGCGGACCGGCCGTGTGGCGCCCCGTGGGTGCAGCCCCCTCCGAGTCAGGCCGGCCGGCCTGTGGTGGGAGGCGCACGCGGCGGCAGGAGGAGGGGCCGCCGCCCGCCTGGTGGCACGAGTCACACTCACTTCCTTCTCGCTGACGCTCACTCTGCCCTCCTCCCCACAGGCCTCGTGCGGAGCACACGCCGCCCGTGTCCACAGCCCCTCTCGAAGCTCTCCCCCAGCTCCCGGCGCTGGCTGGACCGCTGCTGTCCGGGTGGGACACTTCACTGCCACGCCTGACCTCCCCGGGCTTCCTTTCCAGTCCCGGTGGGTTCGGGGTGCCGTGCCTGTCCAACAGGTGGGCGCACACACGGCCACGCGTGCAGACGGACGTGAGACCCCCCGTGCGTGGGCCCCGCTGTGGCCGAGGAGCTCGCTCTGGCTGGTGCCGTGGCTGCGCACGTGTTTCTCGGGGAGCGCGTGCTCCCCGCTGCTGGCTGTGTCTGAGCAGCGGCCCTTTTCTCACGCACCCTTGTTGGCTTCGGTGCCTCGGGCGCAGCCCAGCTCCGGGCCCCGTCAGGTGGAGCCTTTCGGCCCCGTGCACGCGGCAGGGGCTGGACACTCGCCCCGTCCCCACCCCCCAGGCCCCACCGCCAACCCCCCGCCCCGCCGTCTGCCCAGCCACTGGCCAGAGGAGCGGGGCCACCCAGCTGCCGCAGGTCAGACGTCGGGGGGTGGGGGGGGGGCCTGCCGATGGCGCCGGCTGCTGCTCCGCTGGCCCACCTGTCTGGCGACACCCGGCAATGGTTGCCTGGGCGAAGTCCTTGATTTTCTTGTACTTCTGCAAAAAACTCTCCAGAAACTGGGAGGCTTCTTGAACAGTCACCCCAAGGCAAGCAGCAAGCCGCTCCTTCCCTGTGTGAGCAGAACACGAAGGTCAGGAGCAGCCCTGACCCCCACATGGCGGGGACCGAGCGCACAAGCCCCTAGGCAGGGACCCCCAGGCGCGGAGGAGCAAGCCAACAGGAGGCCTCCTGGACACGCGGTGAGTTGAGCGAGGACCAGCCGGCACCACGGGTCTCTTCTGATTGGTCAGGGTGGTGGCGGCTTTTGGCTTCACAACTGAGTGCCAGGTGCTGGCCCACCTGGGGCAGCACCCATGTGTTCATTCCCCGTGTCGGCTGAGTGCCCGCCAGGTGCTGCGGCTGCAGCCGTGCCCGGAGCAGGTGCAGCCCGGCGCCCAGCTGGCCGGGCACAGAGGAAGACGAGGAGGGGACGCCCCGCTGCCACATCAGGGGGAACGGGACCCCGGAGGTCCGTCCTTCGAATGTCACTGTGAGACAAGCACTTTTGGTCCAGCCAGTGTTTGCTTCCTGGGGACGCAGGTACTCTGATGACGCTTCTTGCAGCAAGGCCTGTGGTCAGGGCAGCACCCTGAGTCCCAGGATGGCACCCCAGGTCCCAGCACAGCCTTCTGGATGAAGGTGCTGGGACCACCCTGGCCTGGGTCTGCGCCCAGCTCCATCAGGGTGGGCGGTTCTGCGTGGCCGTGGGGAAGTCACCTGACCTGCCGTAAGCCCCCACTTCTTCCCTGTGAATAATGAGGAAAAACATCCTCGCCCCTAAGGTTGGTAGGGGGACCCCGTGAGCTGAGGCAGGCAAAGCTCCACGCCGACTGGCCCCTAGCTGGCATTCCGTGTGCAGTCCCTCTCCCTTGTGCTCTGGAGAAGAAGGCTCCCCAGAGAGAGTGAGGGGTCCCAAGGACGGGTGTGGGCGCCTTGCCAGACAGCAGGCGACGGGATGGCCCTGGGCTCCCAGGGGCTGCATCTCGGGAGGGAACCCCAGGAGACGCGTCGTTGCGTGAAGGCCTGAACGCTGGGAGTGTGACTGGAGCCAGGATGGACCGGCTGCCCCTGCACAGGGTCGGCTCTGGGGTCGCCCTGGGGGCGCCCCAAGGGGCCTTCAGACAAAATGGTCCAGGAGCCGCAGCCTGGAGGAGGAAACGCAAAGACCAGAGGCGAGGCCTCAGGAGGAGGGGCTGCCGGGCGTCTCTGAGCCGGGCTCTCCTGGCCCCAGCTGGCTGGCCGAGGGTGCAGAGGCTCCGACAGCAGGGTGCTCACACCGTGGGGGAGCGCAGGGGCAGACGTCCTCTGCCCGGCCGGGGATTGCGGGAGAGGCCGGGCGCCCGGGGCTTCTCGAGGCTTCTGCCCAGCCGGCCGCACTCCCGGCTCGGCTGGGGACGAAAGGACCCCGGTTCCCCTTTCTGGCTCAGTTAGGACCAGGCGGCAGCCTCACTGAGACACTCTGCGGAGCGGATCCGTCTGCACCTCCGTCTCAAGGACACCCACCCGCCGCATGGCTCCCGGCTCCCGGCCAGGCTCCCGCGGGGGCTGGGGGCCTCAGGCAGGTCCGGCAGGGGGTGGGGGGGTGGGCGCCGGGAGCCCTCTTTGCAGCCAGACCCGTCCCAAGTGCAGTGGGCTCTGAGGCCTGCTCCGTGCATGTCCATTTCCGCTGTCGCAGTTTTCAGCTTTAGATGTTCAATGTGGGTCTTTTGATTTTCTGAGATTTCCTGGTTTTCACTAACTTCTGGCATATTTCGCTTCCCATCCTTGCACGGTGTTACAAGAGTGGCTTTGACGTGCTCGTCTGCTAACTCCGGCAGCGGGGTGGTCTCGGGGTCTGCTCCCAGGGCCGCCCCTGGAGCACGAGTCGAGTCCCACTGCTGCTCCACGCCCCGCGCGTGGTGACTGTGAGCGGCGCGTTGTAGACACCCTGCGTTCTCTCGAGTTTCTCTCGTGGGTGCTGGTTTCTTTTTTAAATGGGCAGTTAATGTGGCCCAAGTTGAACTTTAAACGTGGTCCCTCTGATTGGGCAGCAGCTGCCATCTCAGGTCAGCCCTTGTAGCCTTGGCTGGGCTGTGCGAAGTCTGCCCTAGTCACGAAGGGTCGGGGGTCAGCCAGAGACTGGGGCAGAGCTCACACTCGGAATCTGGCGATCTTCGCCGGCTCTCCTCTGAGACCTCTCCCTTCACTTCGCCGACTCCCAGGCTGCTCCAGACTCAGCCACCTGGCCCTTCCAGCCAGTGAGAGGGTGCGTCTCTGCTGGCGTCTCGGCAGGTGCAGAGCTACAAGACGGCAAACTCGCCCTGCCCCCTCCTTCTTCCAGCTGTCCACCCACCTGCCACTCCTGTCTGCTTCTGGTCAGTTTTCAGTACCTCTAGGTGCTTGTTCGTTATGTTTTTCCACACTTCAGAGTCGGTACCTGGGAGCGTATGGGCTGCAAGAGCTCCCTAGCTGTTACCAGAGGCCTCCCTTCCTCTCGATACCTGCAGCTGAGAAGAGCCGTCCTTCCCTGGCCAGCTGCTGAGATACTCGGAGGCGGGCCTGCCCAGGTCTGCCTCCAGGGAGCTCCCGCACCTGCTGAGAGCCTGTTAACAGAGGACCGGGGAGGCGGCAGCTCCGGGGAGGCGGCAGCTCCGGGGAGGCGGCAGCTCCAGGGAGGCAGAGGCTGCGGTGGGACTGGTGTCCACTCTGGCCTCCAGGCCCTGGGTCCTTGCTCCCCTGCACCCGTGTCCGTGGGTGTGTCCCACTGGGAGGCCTCCACCCCCTGCCTCCCAAGCAGGACGACTTCCGGCTCCGGAGGGCGTCTCTTTCACGCTCCGTGTGGGCTGGTCCCCGTCTCCACGCACCGTTGCTCTGCACTTCGCTTCCGAGGGCCGGGCCTCTGCTGCGTGGGCTGTGGTCGTGGGCAGGGCCACCCCCCCGAGAGCAGGGGCCCCCAGCTCTGAAACCTGCTGGGGACCCATCGCGCCCTGCGTGTGCGCGGGCCTGTGCTGCAGCTCTCACTTCTCAGCAAGACCCTCTTCGCTCCCTTGGTGCCGGGGGCTCTCCCCCCGCCCCCACGCACAACCGCTGACACTCCCCACGCACAACCGCTGACACTCCCTCACTCTCGTGGGTGACCCCAGGGCCCACCGGGCACCTGGCCCCTCGTGGGCCGCAGGGGTGCCGGCTGGCCCACCTGGCACCCACTGTGCAGCCCCAGGCTGGCACGGCCTCGGGGACCCCTCGTGATCGGACGAGGCTGGGCGGGGGCGGGCCGAGGAGATGCGGAGCCAGCCGTCTGAGAAGAATCAAGAGGTGGACTGGCTCTTGGAGCGGCGGGAGCGCCGGGCAGGACCAGGGGTGGAGGTCAGAGGGGTCGGAGTTGCTTCCTGGAGGCACCACCTCCTGGAGGGGGAGCTCAGAGGGGCTGGCAGAGGGCCAGGGCGGGCGGAGCCCGTCAGGGACAGGCACTGAGCTCCTCGAGGGCAGGAGCAGCTGCGTGTGGGCCCCAGGGAGCTGCGGCTCTGCGGCCGTGTGGTCGCGGCCGTCTCGGGAGCGGGGCCGCCCTCCCTGCGGAGCCCTGGGCCTGCGGGAGGCGTGGGGCCGGGCTGCCCCTCGGGCCGCGGTGGGCTGCACAGCTTGGCGTGCTCCTGAGCACCCTCGGTGCCTGCAGCCCAGGCCTGCTGCTCCCCGCGCTGTCTTTCCCCGTGGTCCTCACGACAACCACGCCACGGAATCTGCCTCCGCCCTGGGCCCCCGGAAGCCAGAGCAGCAGCTTGCGGACCCTCGGGGGCACGTTTGCGTGACAACACGTCCTTGCAACCTGCGAAAGCTGGCTGGCGGGACGCCCCTCGGCGGAATTCCCGCAGGGTCAGGGTCCCGGCAGCCCGGGAGGACAGCCACAGCTGCCACCCAGACTCCGTCTCACACGGGAGCAGTCTCAGCCTGCGCACCGCTGCTGCGAACGCACAGGGTCGGCTGACAGGCTGGACGGTGACCACAGGAACAGCAGCTGCAGACACGGAGGCTCGGGGTGGGAGCCCTGTCACCGCCAGGGCTGAAAGCAGCCCGACCACCCTTCTCACCGGCATCACAGCTAATGACTCACTGCTTGCTTACAAAGTGGAGCTCGCTCTTCTCCAGAAGAAACAGGGAGAATCCAGAAGGCAACAAACCCACACAGCTGAGAAGGGGCCCTGGGTGCGTCGGGAGGGGGGCACGCACCCCACTGGCCTCGTGCAGCCCCTCGCCCTGCAGCCTCTCTCCCAGCTGGATCTGGGATGCTGCCCCGCCCCCCCCAGCACTGCCAGTCACGGGGGCGGGGGTGGGGTGCGCTGGCCCGGCACTGGACAGAAGGAGGCCCCAGGCGTGGTGGTAAATGCCGATGGGGCGTGAGCTGGTGTCAGCTGCCGCTCCAACAACCCACCTCCACATCGCCTGAGCTGGGGACAGGACACAGAGCGGCGGAGGGCCTGGTGCAAGGTCACACAGCCAGGAGGGGACAGTCAGGGCTCGGCCAGGCTGCCTGGTTGGGGACGAGGAAGCAGCGTCCGCTGGCAGGGCCAGAGCCGATGGCGCCCCTGTGGCACGTGACTCTGGGCAAGGTCGCCAGGCACCAGAACCCACCATGAAGGGTGCCCGGTCGGAATGCTGGTTCTGACCGGACAGAGAGACTTGGGGAGTTCGGGGGCACGGGAGGGAGGAGGCAGGGAGCAGGCGATGGGGCAGCACCCGGTGCCACCCACTCAGATCAGTTGCTTAGCCTGTCGCCCCAAAACCGTGCATGCAAATGGCCTCCTGCCCACCCTGCCCCCCCGCAGGCAGGGCTGTCTGCACCCCACTCCAGGGAGGCATGCACGGGCCTCGGGAAGCGCCCGGGAGGTGGGGGGTGCTCAGTGCAGCGGAGCCTGGGGTTTTGGGGGAGGGGGGCAGCGGAGAGGAGCGGTCTCCCCGGCCTCACGGGGCCCTCCTGCAGGGTGCTCCCCCCGCCCAGCCGTGCCAGCACCCTGAGCACAGCCCTGCAGAGGACCCAGCCAGGCTGCACCCAGACCCCTGACCCACAGGGACTAGGAGACGAGGGACGGGCCACCCACACTGCTCAGGGCGCCTGGGGAGGGGCAGCTGAGTGGAGACCCGACCGAAGTCAGGGGGAGCTCAGTGGGCGGGGGTGGTGGGGGAGGGCCTCCTCAGGCCTCTCCCAGCACAGGACTGGCCCAGCAAAGCTGTGCAGAGTAGGGGCTGGCCCTGCCCCCCCTCCCGGGGGCGTGGCTTGGGCTGGCACTCACTTCTGGGCCTGTGTGTCCCCCCCGTTTGATGGGCAGACATGAGCACGGGGTGGGGGGCGGAGCGAGGGCTGCGAGGGGTCTGACTGGTGTCACGGGCGGCAGGCGTGCCGAGTCCCGTCAGCGTTGGTGAAAGACATGCGGGACTCACAGGTGCCCTCCCCAGGCCGACGGTGGTCTCCCCAGCCGTGCGTGGGCCGCAGCCTACCTGCCCCGTAGACCACGGAGTATACCACCTTCTTGGTCCGCTCCCTGTCTGCGTCCGTCACGCGGTCTGCGGGGACGTCCTTCCTGCGGGAGAGGGGGCACGTACCTCAGGCGGGCCGCACCACCTGTGCAGGGGCCGCTGGGGCCCGGAGCCCGCGCAGCGCCAGCCCCGCCGGCACGGTGCTCTCTCTGGAGGGACCCCACTGTCCGGAGTCAGCCTCTCCCACCGCCGGGGAGACACCGCCGCTGCGGCGCCTACTCTCCTGGTGCTGGCCCAGGGGCCCGAGCAGCTGCCGGCTGGCCCAATCCTGGGGCGCCCGCAAACCGCACCAACGAGCGGCGCGTTCAGCGGGGAGCGCCTGCCCGCGGGGAGCAGGCCTGCTCCCAGGGCTGTGCCCTGTCTGCCCGCGGGACTGGACCAGCGGCCGGGTGGCCGAGGGGTGGCTGAACCCCCCCGGGGTCAGAGCACTCGGACAGAATAAAGGAATAAAGATCGAGGCCACCCCTGACCCTCTGCCCAGCTGAAGGAGCGCGTCCCCACCCCGAGCGCAGGGGCTGGCTCCGGGCGGGGCCCTGCGGGGCTCAGCCAGGAAGTCGGAGGCGCTGCCGCGGCCCTCGCCTGGCTCAGCCATCAGCCCCACCGACGACGGGAAAGCCCAGGGTCTTCTCGGGTGTCTTCTGGGCAGGGTGGCAGCCCTGGGTGGGCGCGGGATGGGGCTTTCTGAGCGCCCCCAGCATCCCGCTTGGGCCTGGGCCTGCTCCCACCCCCACAGGGTCTCTCCCCGCGGCTCCCCAGGTGTTCAGGGCCATGTAGGCCACTGACCTCACAGCACCCTCAGCAGTGTCGGCCGCCGTCCCGCCCCGGACTGAGTGCTGGTCCGGCGGGACAGCCCCCAGGCCGGTGAGAACCCACAGACAGGACACTTTGTAGGCAGGTGGGCTCCTCCCCCGGGATCGGGACCAGGACCAGGACCGGGGACAGACAGCGTCCGGTGCTGGGCACGGGGCGGCGGAGTCGGAGGGCGGGCCACACGACCACGCCACAAGCTCCCCTGCCGTGCACGTCGCCCTTTCCGTTTTCCGCATTTTGTTCATTAGTTTTAGACAGACAGGAAGGGAGAGAGGGAGGGAGACATGGGTTTGTGGCTCCACTCATTCATGCATCGATGAGTTGATTCTTTTTTAAAATTAATTCTTTTCGTAGAGAGGGGAAGGGAGGGAGACAAAGGGAGGCAGCAGCCAGTTGCCTCCCACCAGCTCCCCAACCGGGGACGAAGCTCGCGGCCCGGGGCACCTGCCCTGACCGGGAATCAAGCCCTGACCTCTCCGTGGACGGGACGGCGCCCCGCCACCCGAGCCACTCCCGCCAGGGCCGCAGGTCGACTCTCGTGTGCGCGCTCACTGGGCCCGTTTCTGGGTGCGGCCTCGGCTCGGCCGCGAGCCGCTGCCCGTTCCCCAGGGCGGACGGAGCTGGTCCTGACAGTTTTCCCTGGACGCCTTCCTGAGGCCAGAAACCACACGGGGACGCCACCAGCTCCACTACGGTTCAACGTCACTCTGGGAGCATCAGCCAAATAGCCAGAGGCATGATAATTGGGGAAAAAATTTTGAAGACCAACTTCTGGTTGGAAAGCCCTACTGAATCAGTGATAAACTAATTCTGCAAAGTCCGCCTGGTGTGGCTGCGCTGGGTGGACACCACCCTGCAGACCGAAGTGTCGCCGGTTTGGTCCCTGGTCCGGGCACCTGCCTGGGCTGCAGTCTGGGCCCCAGTCGGGGCACACACATGAGGCAGCCAGTTGATGTTTCTCTCTCACATCGATGTTCCTCTCCCTCTCTTCCTTTCCCTCTCTCTAAGAATAAATAAATAAAATCTTTTTTAAAAATGTGAAAATACGCCTTGAAGACGACGTGAAAGGATGAGGGTGAAGATCTGGGCAGAGCGGCAGGGGAGGCCGGGCGGCAGGCCCCGCCCGGGGCCTGGGCGCGCTCCGAGGGAAGGGGGCTTGGCAGGGGCGTCCCGCACAGCCCGCTGGGACCGCCGGCTTGCCACGTGGGAGGACACCAGGCAGCTCTTCGTTTTCATGAGCCACCGAACCACACAGTTGAGTCCAGACAGATTAAAAGCCTCCACATGAAAAAAAAAAAAAGGCACATAAAATGAAAGAAAGCAAAGAAGAAGGTAAGTTCCCACTCACAGAAGAGCAGGGATAGGAGGATGCCAACTGTACAATCATGAATAAGAAATAAATGATAATCCGCCTCATAGTTTTAAAACCCAGCATGATGAGAAGCACCGCAGCAAATCCAGAGACGATGAAAGACCATTCCCACGCCGGCACGTGGAGGAGAAACGGGGCCCTGCCCAGAACGCGCGAAGAGCCCCCACAAGTCGCCGAGAGCGGGCGGTCTCACGGAACGCGGGGCAGAGGGTGTGAACAGTCCCCTCGGCAGCGGAAGTCGGATGGGCTCCCTGGGGGGGCATCGCCAGTCCTGCCCGACTCGAACGCAGAGCACGGGCGTGGCTTCTCCGGGAGCGATCGGCAAGGACGAGTCCCCTACTGAGGACTGCAAGGACAGAGGAGGGGGCACCCCCCCAAAACCCCAGGATTTATTTATTAAAAAACTGTGCATTTACTCCTCCATGTTTAAACTCCAGGCACCTCCAAAGAACTCTCCACTCCATGCAACACACCTACTGGGGCGTTTTCCCCACTGCTCAGAACAGTTTCGAGCTCGTCCACTCTGATGCCTTTTCGGGCTTCTGCCATTTTCTGATTCCCCTCTTCCACATTGGCAAAACATTCCCCTTTAAGGACTTCTTTCATCAGGGAAACAAAAAAAGCCCCTCAGGGCGAGACCGGGTGAATAGGGAGGTTGGGGCACAGGGTCACGCCTTTTTTTCGTTAGAAACTGCTGAACACTCAGCTTGGTGTGAGCAGGTGCGCTCATACATCACACACCTTGAAACGGGCGAACGCATTGAAAGAGTTCAAAAAAAATTCACTGAAGCCAAATGCAGCCTCTCACACCACCAGCCGGTCCACTGACACAGACGGGTTCCCAGAGCAGTCACCCAGTGGGAGAGCCTGTCCCACAAGGGGCCCGTCCTCCAGAAGGAATTCTGTTTGTTTGTTTTTTTTTGAGGGCCCCTTGTAGGTTCTCGTGTGCAGAGCGGGACAGCTCTTTGGGAGGGGCCTCTGACAAGCTGACCGAGGGGAAGAAGTGCAGACCCACCCCATCCACTCCGGGAAGCAGACCCCGGCCTCGGCCAAGGCCGGACTCCTGGGCAGGCCCACAGGCTGCGAGCCAGGCATGGGGGCACCGCCCGGCCCTGGGGGAGCGCGGACCAGGCCGCAAGGCTGGCAAGAACTAGCCCACCGCCAGAGCAAACAACAGCAAGGAGGGGCAGGGAGGGAGGCTCGCTTACCGCTCGGGCTGTCCACCACGGCTCCCTGGAGCTCGCGGGGGCAGGGGCTTCTGCAAGGGCCACTGCGCCTGCAGGCACAATGGCCTGGAGTCCCCAGTGGCCCCGACAGCAGGGGACGGAGGCACTCCCTTCAACGCCTCGTCCACGATTCAGACACGTATTTCCCTTAGTTGAGGGTTTTCCTTTGTCTTTTTTTGGAAAATATACATGACTTAAATTTCATCCTTTTGATCATGTTTAAGGGTACCGTTTGGTGGCAGTAAGTACGTTCGCAGTGTCGTGTAACCTTCACTGCCATTTATTTCCAGAAGTTTCTCATCTTCCGAACTGAAACTCTGTGCCCATATTTCCATCTGCTCTTTTTTTTTTTAAGATTGTATTTGTTTTTAGAGCAAGGGGAAAGGAGGGAGGACGACAGGGAGAAGAACACTGACTGGTTACCTCTTGTAAGCACCCCGGCTGGGAGCTGACCCTGCAGCCCAGCTAACATGCCCTGACTGGGAATCGAACCGGTGACCTTGTGCTTTGCAGGATGACACCCAACCCTCCAGCCACATCAGTCGGGGCTCCATTTGTCCTGAACTTTAATTTTAAAAGTTGTTACGAGGTGTAACTGATCACTTCCACATTTCTTTCTTACTACTGAAGTATCATCCACAGACCATCCACCCTTTGAAGGTGCACAGTTTAGTGGCTTTCAGCAAACTCACCCACGCTCAGTCCACCACCACCGCCCTCTGATTCTGGGGCGTCTTCGTCCGGCCCCCTCCGTCCCTGTCGCCCCCCGGCCACCGCCGACCCACTGTCCATCTCCCCACCTTCGCCTGCTCTGGGCACGTCCCACAAACAGGTCACGTGGTCCGTGGCCTTCTGAGACTGGCTGCTTCCACGAAGCGTCGTCGAGGGTCGTCTACGTGGAAACGTGTCAGAGCTGCGTTCCCGTCCACCGCTGGGTGACACCCCACTGTGCGCAGGCTGCACGGTGTCCACCTGCTCTGTTGACGGACATCCGGGGTGTTCCCACCTCCTGGCTTTGTGGACGCTGGAGGACAAGTGTGGGGGTGGACAGAGGTCTCCACTCCTCTCGGGCAGGTGCCTGGGAGGGGAACTGCTGGGCCGCGTGGGAGCTTTATGGTTGGGGCGCTGCCAGGCTGTTCCGGACGGAGCGACCGCACCGCCTTACCCGCTGGCAGCGTCCGAGAATGGATCACTTGTACCTTGCAGGAAAGCAGAGGCCAAGAGCTCTTTACTCAAACTTCCCCCAGAAAACGCAGCTGGAGCCCTTTGTGAAGACCTGAGACGCTTCGGACGTCCATCTGATTGAGCAGGGGGGCCCCGTGGCCTGAGCCCGGCGTTGGGCCACGTGAGCCCTGACAGTTGCCTCTGTGGCCCCGGGAGGAAGCGGCCCTGATGGCAGATTACAGCCTCGGTCACGGATCAGGCCTGCCCACGCCGGGCTGTGATGCTGACTGAGGAGAGGCCAGGGCCGGCCTCCAACACTGAGTCTGCGCGATCAGGAACCACCAGCAGGCCCTGGCTGGTGTGGTGCAGCTGGTCGGAGCGTCGTCCAGACCGTAAACCGAAAGGCCGCGAGTTTGATCCCCAGTCAGGGCACCTGCCTCGGTTGCAGGTACAAGAGGCAACAAAAGAAAAA